CCCATAGCCCCCCCAGTAACTCCCCAGTGCCCCCATAGCCCCCCAGTGTCCTCAGGTGGGACAAACCCCCCGAAGCGGGAGGGGCTTGGTGGCCACTGGTAACCCGCGGGTGACCCACGAGTGACCCACTGCCAGAGCCGCGAGCCCCGCCTTGACCCCCCGGGAACACTGGGAGAGAAGTGACACCACACCCGCCACCACCTCCCACCGGCACCGGCGCTGAGACCCCCGGGGACCCCCGGGAAACACCGGGGACAGACCCCCGCTCGGTGACAGATCCCACAGGCGCCACCCCCCCCCCGCCGGTCCCGGCCCTGGGCAGTCCCAGGAACACCCCCGGGTGACCACAGGCAGCACCAGGGCCCGGTGCCACCATCCCCACGCTGCGGATTCCCACCGGTCCCGGCCCCGAGCATCCCGGGGGTGACCCCGAGTGACCCCCGGCGGCGGCCGGGACCGGTGCCACCATCCCTGTGGGGCAGCATCACGCCCGTACGGGTCCTGAGCACCCTTGGGTGACCCCGAACAACCCCTGGCAGCACCGGGAACCGGTGCCACCACCCCTGTACCACCGCCGCCTCCGCCGCTGCCGAGCATCCCCGGTGTCACCGCGGGTGACCCCCGGTGGCGGCGGGGCGCGGTGACACCGTCCCTCCATCGCAGCACCGCGCCGGGACGGGTCCTGAGCATCCTTGGCGTGACCCCAGGCAGCACCGGGAACGGGATTCCCGTTACCTCCCGCCGGTACCGGCCGTGGGCAACCCTGGGGTGACCCCGGGTGACCCCCGGTGGCGGCGGGGACCGGTGCCACCATCCCTGCGGTGCAGCAGCGCACCGGTCCCGGCTCCGGACCCGCCGAGGTGACCCCGAGTGACCCCAGGCAGCACCGGGGACCAGTACCACCATCCCCCCGCCACCGCATCCCACCAGTACCGGCCCTGGGCATCCTTTGGGGTGAGCCCAGGTAACACCAGGGCCCGGTGCCACCATCCCCACGCTGTGGGTTCTCACCGGCACCCACGCTCAGCGCCCCCAGGGTGACTCCGGATGAACCCAGGCAGCACCAGGGCCCGGTGCCCACCGGTACGGACGCTCAGCATCCCCCGGGTGATCCCCGGTGACAGCAGGACCCGGTGCCATCATCCATCCCCCCCGGCCACCGCATCCCACCGATCCTGTCCCTGGGCGTCCCGGGGGTGCCCCCAGGACAGCACCTTCCTCGGACCCCCCCCCCCCCCCCCCCCCCCCCCCCCCCCCCCCCCCCCCCCCCCCCCCCCCCCCCCCCCCCCCCCCCCCCGCGGTTGCCATGGCGAGCGCGCGCGGCGCGAGGTGGGCGTGTCCCGCGGCGAGGAGGGGCGTGCCGGCGATTGGCCGGGGGCGGCCCCACGTGACGCGGGCATGCAAATGAGGCGCGGCCTCGCGCCGCCGCCGCCGCCTGAGGGAGGAGGGACGGGCCGAGGGAAGGGAGGAGGAGGGACAGGAGGGAGCGGGCCCGGCCCGGCCCCGCCGGGACCCCCTGCCCGCCACGGCACCCCCCGACCCCGCAACGGGACCCTCCTCCGGGCCATGGCACCGCCGCCTCGCCCGGCCCGGCCCGCAGGTACCCGCGCTGTGCCGCCGCCGCCGCCGCCGGGCCCCGCCGGGCTTTGTCTGGGCCGGGGGGGGGCTCTGAGGGAGGGGAGGGGAAAGGAG